GATAAAATGTATGTAAAAAAATTGCTGTGAAATTCAATCCAAAACTTAATAAAAATAAAAGTTAAACAAATTATTGAGAAACAAGAAATGAAATTCAATGAAACGATAAATTTGATGAGCATTTCATCGGAAAAAACATAATAATTATCATGATTTCCACGAATAGTTAACAAACAGTTATTTTCAATAGAAAATAAAACATTAAAACAAACAGTAATTAACAAAAAGTACATAAAAATAGCAAAACATTTACATTGATTAACAAAAAACAGACAACACTTACATCAACTTTATTGCCGTATTGTTTTCTGGACACGACCTCCGGTGCCATCCAATAGGGTGTGCCGACCATTGTCTGGCGCTTTTCGTCGGGCGATATTTGGGCGCAGAATCCAAAGTCTGTCACCTTAACTGATCCGTCCATTCCGAGCAACACATTATCCGATTTGATGTCTCGGTGTATAATACCCTGAAAAGTGGACAAACAAATCACAATTAATACATAATCACTAAAACAGATCCTAAAAACAATCGGTGGTATACTTTTGAATGAAGAAATGCCACGGCTTTGAGTGTCTCCTTACAGATGGCCGCCATCTGACTCTCCCTCATCACCGTTTCGGTGACCACGTCTGTGAGGGCCCCGCCCTCCAGGATCTCCATTATCACCCACAGGTCATTGTCCACCAAATAACTGTCCAAATAGTTGACCAGATTTGGGTGTCTGTGTGAATGATAGACATAATGTTAGCATCTTATTGCAAAATGAGATTATTGCATTTTTATTTATCAATTGCTATTAAATTGTGTAAATGTTATAATCAGTTCGTTATGTGACAAATTCATATAACATCTGAATTAACGATTTCACTCCCACTCCATATAATTTCAATTTATAAATTACTAAAAAATTTTGCAATTTTTAAAACAGAATATTCTGTTTTATTATCGAGTGCTTTAAGGTATTTATAATGTATATCTTTAACATTCAACATTGACAAAACAAAATTCTAATTAAAGGCACAAATAATTTTTGATTTCATTTGTTGTTTGCATTTTTATGAAGACATTTGATTAATAATGCACTTATAATTGTG